AGATAAAAGGGGAACTTTTTAGTAAATATGAGTTGACTAATCCACATTATTGTTGTTATTATTATTATTATTATTATTAATACTCTAAATTGCTCCTGATAGAAACTTAAAGGGCAAGAATATTACATGTATTTTCTTTGGTACAAATTCTGCAATCCCAGAAGGGACAATACTGAAAAAATAATAGAAAATCATTGATCCTCCTTGATAGATTTATTAGAAAGGCCACCATTCCACTGATTATTTTTGTGTATATTTTCTACATCCTCCATGAGCTTAACTAAGCATTTATCTGAAGCCTACGGTGTCTAGTCACATGACCCCCACTTATTTAGCATGTACTGGGTTTGCTCGTACTCTCTGCTCTACGTAAGCCTAGTCTGTGACTATTTTCTTAATAGATACATTGCACTGCAGGTGTTATGAAATTTGTGGAAGACTTTTCTTAAATATTTTTCTGAAATTCAGATAGACAGAATAGAGTATGTTCGATTGGTTTTGTATGATCGGTAGTTACCTTTAGCTGGTGACCAGCTGAGATAGTTAAAAGAGATCCATGTTTTGTCTCTTTCTTAGTGAATCCCTATGGAGACCTAATGAACAGCACTTATGTTTTATATTGTTTTGTGACCATTTGGGGAGAAATATGTTCTAGAAGTGATCAAGGTCAAATTCAGTGACAATAATGTTATCCTTTGGAAATGACCAATTCTGCTATCATTAAAAAAAATTAAAATATTACTCTCTGAAATCACTTAAAGATGAGATATTCAGCACCTTCCAGAGGATGATACCCAAGGTTTTGACCTAAGATACCAGAAGGACGGAGATGAGTTTAACTGAACTGAGAACATTATGGAGAGGGAGAAATGTTTGAGAGGAATATCAACTGTTGAACATGTTATCTTTGAAAATCTAGTGAACTTCCAAGTGAAGAAGTTACCTCCCTGAGGTAAAGCTCCAGAGCTGTCTAGTGTTTGCTGGTCCACAGTGCAGGAGGTGGAGATGTTGAGCAAAATCCAGAAAGTGACTGAGCAATAGGAAGAAAACCAGGTGAGTGAGGCATCTCGGAAGCCAAGAGAAAAAAGTGTTTCTAGGAGTTCTGTTTCTTAACCCCCTGAGTTGTCAGACTGTGAACTCAGTCAGTTTGATATCTCTGTGAGATCCCAACAATTCTATCTCACAAAATTTCTTTCTCCCAAGAAAACTCTAAATTAGGTCTGAGACTAATGCCTCATGTTCTACTGCTTCTGCCATGGTCACAATTGCCTTGGGATTGGAGAACAGATCTTATTTCTCATGATAGCGCCACCTATTGTCACCAGTGAGATCCACCACAAATTGTGAGTATATAACCTCCCTATAAAATAGTCATAGCCGTGGCTCCCTGACCTATCTACAGGTTAATGAACAATCCAAGTTAAGAAATAGATCAAATTCTCAGTAGGTTGCTGAAGCATTGCTCCAAGGAAGTTATCTATCACTGTGACAAAGGTCAGAGGGACCAATATTTTTCACCCTGAAGACAGGGAGGCCAAGCTTCTTGGCAAATACTGAGAGAAACTTGAGATATGATACAGCTTATATATCTCTTCAAAAGCTACTTCTCAGTAGGATCTATTATTTTTAGAAATATTCTTAATAAATACTCCTTAAAATATTGTTCTAAAGCCTACTAACACCAAGGCCAACCTTATAACCTAGTGGTTAAGGGAGCCAGATCCCACATGACCAACCACAGTTTGAATCCCAGCCCCGGCATCTTAAAAAACATACCAGACATGTGTGCATGTGTGCCTCAAATCCTGACAAGGTGCAGAAATGGAGTAAAAGGCATTTCAATGTGACCATGTCCCATTGGGGAATCATTTCTCCTTCTCTCTCCATCTCTCTCTGTCTCTGTCTCAGAAAAGTACACATGCTCTCTGGCAATTATAGAAAAACTACTAATACCTAGAATTTTATAATAATCAGGCTTCTTCTATTTTGAAAAATTCTTCAGTATGGTAAGCTAAAACATAATGCACTTTTAGAATGCTTTTCCAAATTAAGACCATTGTGTCTTTATACACATTATGTCCATGCCACTACTTTTAAATCCTATGCTGTATGTAAAAAAAAAAAAAAAAAACCGAGACAAAGAAAAGAGACTATATCGTCAATGCAAATTTTTATGCATGCTATATAATGCATTTTTATTTTTAATTGTCTTTTCCAGTTCCCAAAAAAATAAATAAAAATGAACAATATCCTGTATTTATATTTTCCTTCAATATCTTAAGGTACACAATTATCAAAGCTGATATTGAACACAAAAAATTGATACAATTCAGAACTCTAATAAAATTCATCATCGAATAAGTTACTTTAAACTTTATGCAATATAACTTTATGTTCCATAGCATCTTTAATAGAAACTGTATACCAAAATGGCTCTTTAAACTTAAAAAGTGCAATTACAGAGTGCAAAAAATGCAAAGAGACAAAATACACTGTCTTACATTTAATATCATTGAATTTGAATAACATATGTTTTAGATAGAATTACTCTTTAGTTAAAACATTAAAATGTACTCCAGAAACACTGTTTATATAAGTTGTTACTCTCCTTCCTCTCATATGAAAAAGAGCAAGAAAACAAAACAGAAAATATTGGGCAGTAGAACAAACATGTTTTTGTTAAAAAATCAACAGAATGGATACTGGAGCAAAAATGATCGGTAGTTAAAATGATAAAGGAGGTGAGATGCGAGTTTTAGAAAAGTGCATTACTGAGTTCAACAGAAAGTACACACTAGCTTCATGTAGTTGCTATGTAAAAATTGATTTGATACCTGATGGCAGATTAATTTAGCTAGCTCTCTTCCCAAGAGCTGGAGAATTAAAATCTGAGTTAAAACATTGCCATCCTAGTAGATCCTTTCTCCTGGCCGAGATATGAGAGCAAAGCAAAGATGTCTAGAACAGTAGGATTATATCGTATTGTATTATAAGTGTTTGATATGGTACATAAATCCCAATTTCAAGGTTAGACCTCTAGTACCAATCATAGGATTTAATATCTTTGACTATAGGCTATAGAATATGTGAACTGGATTATCATGCACCCTTGATGGGAGACTATAAATTATGCACTTACGCATTTGGAATTCCTTTGTTCTCAACACATTGGAAATACATAGACCTTGATAGAAATATATATAATGAGAAACCTGTTACATGAACACATTAAACTAAATATGAATTAAAACATTTCCATTGTCTATAAAAATACATGATCTGATAGCAGTCATTTTTTGCTTCCTCAGTATTATCCTCATTGAAATAACTGGTTTGTTTGTTTGTTTGTTTTAATTATTTTTAATCCATTAGAAAAACATCTGGATTGGGGCTGGCAGGTGGCACAGTGGTTGGGGCTCTGGACTCCCACATGGCTGACTACAGTTTGAGTCTAGAACCTAAGGCCTTACTTTCTCACTTTCCCTTTCTCTCTCTCTCCCTGTCTCTTTCTGGTCAAATTAAAAAAATAATAGTAACAAGTGGATTCAAATAAATAAATAATTCTTTAATAAAAAACAAAAACATCTGAGTAAATCCAGCAGGTGACATGATGGTTAAGACTCTCGATCCCCACATGCACAGCTGAGGTTCAAGTGCTGGACTCAGTGACTTGAAAATCATAAAAATAAATAGAAAAATAAGTGAATAAATTATTTAAGAAAACTGGGTCATACTTATTATTTTTGCATATTAATAAGTAATGACAACTCTTTCAGGAGTTCTTTCTTTAAGCATTTTTAAATACAGATTTTTAAAAACCAAAAACTTGCCTTTTCTATGTAATGTGAACTGAGATGCTTAAGAAAAACCAATATACCAGTATTGAGATCTTTACAATAAACCTCTTAGAAATGAAAAAAATAAATAGCAACTGAATTGAAGTTCTTGGTTAGTCAATAAATTTTCTTTGAAATAAAAATCACTGAAAATAAGACTTATTTTGTATCTGACAGGTGTCAATAAAAATGTATAGGGTTTAAAATATGCTTTCACATAGCACATTTGAATTTAGCTCTATGAAATGGAGAATAAATACTCTTTTAGATCTCACTGATTTTTATTTTATTTTCTTTTATCTTGTTTTTTAAGTTTTATATATTGGTTGATAGAGCAACAAATGACCATAATTCTATGATTGAGCTTGTGTGTATAGACGTACTTGTTTGTGAATGTGTATATGGATACATTTTCATTTGTTTTGTCTGCTTGTTGCTTTAAGAACTTTAGATGGGAGTCATATGAATGCACCACATTACGTGATCCATGGATACACATGGAGACAAGTTCTGGCATCTGGTATTCCAGAGGTCAGCTGTGGCCTAATATTTCTTTGTTGCCCTAGCACACTACAGGAAAAAAGTGGAAGGAGAACAGATCCACCCTGACCTGGTATGTAATCCAGAGAGATGCTAACCAAAGGTTCAGCGTTCAGTGAAGCAGCCTCCCATGAAATCCAGAGGTGGTGATGCCATGGTTCTCTGTGCAATTTGTCCAAATACTCCTAGCAACTCCCTTGACCTATGTGTTCAAAGTGCAGAGGAAACCTTATTTTCTTATTTCCTTCTCTTTCAAGAAGCAAACGACAGAAAAAGAAAGGGCCTGGGTTCTGTCTCAGCCTCCATAGAAAGATGTAATTAAGTCTTGACATTTTAAAAGCTTCTCAATGAGTTTCTTATTTGAAAAAAGTACACTGTGATTTGATGTTATTTCCCCACTTCTTGTGATAGGATATCATTTTAAATATTTAAATTCTAGAAATAGCTACGTATTGAGTTCTGTGTTGTTTTTAGATATTTTTGCCATAGGGTGTGTCACTCTCTGGAGAGAGAGACAGGCAAAGTAAGAAATCATCTCCTAGGGGGACGGCCATGCCACAATCCCGTCTCTGGGATTTGGGGCACACGAACGCAAGTGCTTGATATATTTTTCAAGCTGCCAGGTTCAGGACTTGAACCACCAAGCTGGCCATGTGAAATCCAGCACCTTAACCACCAGACCACCTGCTGGCCCTTACTGAGCTGTTTGTAAGTTAAAATTCTCTTGAATAGAAATGAAATCACTCTATTTCCATACTTAGACAATGTATACAACAATTTTGATATTATGTTTTAACATAATAGCTAATCCATAAAATTTTGGAGAACGATTTAATCTTAGAATTATTCAGCAAAGTTCTTAAGAAAATAAATACTCTCAAAAGAAGCACAAATTTGGGCTTCAAGTGTGGATTATTTTTTTCTTATCATCTGGTGAGCAACAATGACCTCATATGTTGTATTATACAAAAAAGGAACATTGTGAAACTATGAAATATGCATGATTTACATAAAAGATTACATAAAATTACGTTTCTCAATTCATTTCACTTAAAGAGAATCCGTTGGTGGTGAGTGGTATCTATAGAAGTCATGGGTAGGGATGGGGAGCTTCCCATTTCCCTCCCAGCAGAGAAACAGTTTTCACTGAGATGGACATGAAAGCTTAGTTTGTTTTAAATGTGCCATGCTCAGCACATAACCTATATTTGTTTCTCCTAAATTCCAAATTCCAGCTGTGTTACTGATCTAATACAGTGGTGTCAACTAATACATCAAACCATGATATAGTCCAACCAATTATCATTGATGAGTTGAAAACAACATCCATGATTAACTTGATTTGCTTCGCAAGCTTAGAGAAGTATGTTCTTTGTTGATACTTTCTGAGCAAGGAACTGGGCATTGCTCACTCCTAAGCACTGTGCAGCAAGCATATGGGCTTTGAAGCTTTTCAAGAATGCATTTAGCTCAGGAAATCACTTCTTACAAAAATATCAATTTTCTTTTCATATTAAATACTTTCTGTGCATATACATTAGAAAATAGTCTGTCAAAAATAAAACACAAACATAAAAACATTTTCCAAGTATATGAAAAATATACTGTGGTTGACCTAACGCATGACCCAACATAAATATTATTAATAAAATAGGAATATGAACATTAACCAGGCACATGGTGCATCTGGGACCACAAGTTCGAGGGTGCCATTCAGACTTGTGGCAACGTTGGATCCCGTGTGGTCACTCTCTCGTATTCCTTCTTTGATTCTTTACTTTTTTGATTCCTATACCTAGAAAGATTCAAAAATGAAACTGTTAGCACCATAGTTATTGACAAGGAGAACAAAGTATGCTGATAAAAGAAACAAATATGGGGACTCCCAAAGCACACCAGCCTACTGTTTTCTAAACGTTGAAGGTGAAGTTAGAGAAAGCAAATCAAAAGGAAAGTAGAAGGGATTGGTTCTGCAGTCCATCTGTACACACTGAGGAACTGGAAAGGCAGGAATGAATGTGGCTTCAGACCCTGCTAGAGATATTTGTCTCTCTCAATAATTTAAAAATCTAATCTTATAAAAGTAACATACTTTCTGGGGAGCCAGCAGGTGGCATAGTGGTTATGGCCCTAGACTCCCGCATGGATGACTATGGTTAGCGTCTCAGGCCCAGAGGCTTGAAACTCACATTGGTCACACTCGTGTATGTGTGTGTGTGTGTGTGTGTGTGTGTGCCGAAAATCCTAAGAGGAGAATGCGGCATGGCCATCCCCACATGGGGTGATTTCTCACTTTCTCTCCTCCTGTCTCTCCTGTCTCTGGTGAGCACGTGCGTCCAATGGCAAAATAAATAAATAAATAAAATTTTTTAAAAAATTCTCTTTAAAAAAAAAAGTAGCGTGCTTTCCAATCTTCAAATTAAGAGTGCATGGCTTTAAGGGAAAAAAAAATTGACTCAAATCTACATTGAAAAATTTGTACAAGTTCCAGAATTTGAAGGACTTCATGGAGAATTTTTTTTTATTATTATTATTATCTTTTAGATTTTTGTCATAGGGCATATGCACCCTCTGGAGAGAGACAGAGAGAGGAAATGGGAGAAATCACTCCCGGGGGAGATGGCCATGCCTCAATCCCTTCTCCTCAATTTTTCTCACAGGATTTTGGGCATGCACACACATGTGCACAGCATGATTTTCAAGCCTGCAGGTCTGGGACTTGAACTGCAATTGGCCATGTGAGAGTCCAGTGCCTTAAGCACCACACCACTTGTTAGCCCCCATGGAGACATTTTAAAGGCAACTCTTATGAACTCATTCACACTGGCACTATATTCTAGTCTTAACCCTAAAAAGAATTGCCAGTCTGTAATTTCAATGTCCCCCTTTTGTCTTTTCCTCTGTTATCAGCTTATGATATTGTACATCCAGAAGTATGATTGCTTTGGGGTGCTAACAAGAACCATATCTTTAACAGTAAGCTTTTAAAATTGTCTAGAAGCTTACTTCTATTAGTCTGCTTTAAATTTTAAGGCCTCAAGCATTTGAAGTTAATTTATAAGTCTATGTTTTATAAAGTATAAAATCTGATCCCCCAAATTAAATATTATGTGGGTAAAGTATAACAGTAGCATCATGCCCTATGGTTTACTTTCACCTGTATGAGGGCCCTTCAAAAAGTATGTGGAAGATAGAATTAAAGTACAAGTTTATTTGGGCACAAAAAGAAATTTGAAATTCATGAATAGCTTTTTTTTTTATATATTATGCTTTTTCTATAAACTATCAAATTCATTACCAAAGACAGTCCTGTAATTTATGTAAGATAAGAATTTCCGGGGCCTCCTGGTTGCATGGTGGCTAGGGCAACTGTGTCTAACATGGCCAACTTTATGGTTCGGGTTCCAGACCTGGCAGCTTGAATGCATTTGCACGTATGCCCAAAATCCCAAAAAAGAGAGAAATGGAAGAGAGGGGATTGCAACATGGCCATTTCTTAAGGGGGTGAGGGGTGGGGGGATGCTTTCTCACGTGTTCTCTCTGTTTTTCTCCGGCAATTGCATGCACTCCTTGACAAATTAAAAAAAAAAAAAAAAAAGAATTTCTTTCTGGGCCCAGCTTCGGTGATGGTGTTGGTAAGGTACTGAGCTGCAGCACTGCAAACCACTTGGTTGACTGCAGGCTCATATCCACAGCTCTCTTGACCAGAAACATGTAAGGTACATAGTACGTGCCCAAGTTCCTGATGAACTTAATGAGTAAGGGAAGGGGATCGCAGTGCAATGAGACCCTATTGAGAATGCAGCTCGCTCTCTCTCCTGCATGCACACACACTATCATGAATAAAATAAAGGGAATTTTAAAAAATAATTTCTGTGTTTTATAAAAGAAGGAACTGATTGTCCCAGTTTGATTTGGATAAGGTCAAATAGTGATAAGTAACAGCTAATAAAGCATTAAATCCAGATGGTCTATAAATATCATCAGTGCAGATTCTACTGTATCTCTTTAATGCTTTGTCCAAAATTTTACCCACTTTATAGGTCTGTATAGTATAAAAGCAATTTATGAAACGAGAGTGTAAAAAGCACGGGCTTACCATCTGTAGAAATAGTATATGGAACCGGCAATTATGATAAGAAACAACATAGTAAGAATCACCGTCAAAACCACATATTCTTTGCTCAAGGGTTGGTGGACGGTTAATATGAAATGTTCACATCGGACACCCGTGTAACCCACTTCACACCTAAAGGACAGTACCAGAAAAAGAAAAAGATCAGTTACTGCAAAAGGAAATCATGGGTATGAATTCGTTTGATAAGAACTAATTTCTCACTGTAGTGTAAGAAATCAACAAGATTTGCTAAACATTGTAAAGAGCAATTTAAAGATTGGTCTTAGGATTGAACCAACATTGATAAAAAAGAGTATCACATAGCTCTCCAGCAAAATTGTGATATTAAAATACCAGTTTGGTTCAGCTGTTGGAGTGGCTGATAATCTAGAACTGTGTTTTGGAACTTTCATAGAGCTTCAGATGCTATTTGTTTAAGACACTGGCATCAATTTTTAAAACAGTAATTGATAGGAAATCCAAGGAAAAGATTAAAAGCTGAGCTGCCACTTGGCAAGTGTGAGAAAGAGGCATCTGAAGCCCTCCCCGCTCTGTACCTACTAAGAATGTGTACAATTTGAAAGCTATTATTTGTTCCTTCATTTAAAAAAAGTTAATAATATTTATAATACCAGGAGTCTTAAAAAAGTTCATAGAAAATGTGAATTATGAAGAACGTGTGCATGCATTTCAAGATTTTTCGCACCAAAACAGACTTACACTGCAATGCCATTTTCCATAAACTTTTTGAAGCCCCCCGCCCCCACACACACATATAAACTGCATTTTAAGTTTATTCTAGTCCCAAGGAAATAAAGGGCAACTTTGAAAAGAGAGAGAGAGAGAAATAAAGCTTAAAAGCTGTAAGGTTTGTTTGTTTGTTTTCTGGCATATTACCTGCAGTAATTTTCTTCCATGTCCACAAGGTAGATGCACTGTCCATGCAAACAGTAGCCAACCATGTCGGGGTCGCACTTTGTAATTGACACTTGAGCCACCCGTGGACTGTCATCCATCTGAACTGTGAAAGAAATGGAAAGTAGTAAATAATCTATTCCTTTTTGGGAAGCCTTAAGCAACCTTTCAGAACGCTAACCACTGAGCCACTTCAATAAATCGGAGTAGAAGCTAATCCGCTAAGGAGAATTTTTAGGAATACAAAGAAGTCACTCGTGGACTCCCTTGGACCAATAAACAAACACTCAAATCCAAAGGCAAATGTCCAACAGACTAAACAAGACATGATAACACTTGAGGATTTATTTCTCGAAGACCACCTTTAAAGAGAGAAGAGGCAACTTCAGCACACACCTGTCACCACCCTCCACAAAATGTGTAATTTACTTCTCAAAACAAAATGTGTCTAATTTTTACAAATCTCAAAACAATTCTGACATTCTTTATTCCCAAAAGCAATTGCAAACAAAGAATAAACAATTCAAGAGAGATTACTTCTGCAGCAGTTTTCTAAGCTATTAAAGCTTGTTTTGGTGTGTCTCTATAAACTGAGGTATGCCATCAAAAGAATCAGTCAATGGGACCAGCAGTTGGTGTAATGGCTATGTTGCTGGACTCCCATGTAGTTGACCATGGTTCAAGTCCCAGACCTGGTGGCTTAAACTCACACCAGGCAAGTATGTATACGTGCCTAAGATCCCAAGAGGAGAATGAAGGAGAACGGATTGGGGCATGACCATCCCCCCTGTGAGGGGTGGGTGATTTCTCACTTGCTCTCTCTCTCTATCTCTCTCTCTGTCTTTCTGGCACCCACACATGCCCTATAACAAAATCCTCTTCGAAAAAAAAAAAAAAAAAGAATTAGTCAAGGTCTCCCAACACTCCCAACAATGAGAACCAAATGCAAACCAGGTGAAAGCTGAGTTAGAAATGCCTCTGTTAGGTAAACACAAGAACAAAAATAGGAATACTGTTGCAACCTACATGTAAAATTCACCTTAGAATGTTTCATTGCTAAAGTATGAAAGATAATTATGAAATTCTGAAAAAAATTTACATATATAGTGTCTTGAAAGGCAGCTAGGTGACATGGTGGTTAGGGTGCTGGATCCCATGTGGTCTACAGAGAGGTTTATGTTCCACACCCAGTGACTTGAAAAACACATGGGGAGCCTGTGCCTGTGTGTCCAAATTCCCAAGAGGAGAATGAAGGAGAAGGGTTTGGAGTGGTCATCGCCTCTTGCGGGTACTTTCTCACTTTCTCTCTCTTCCCCCACCCCCTGGCAACCACTTACATCCTATAGCAAATTAAAAAAAAAAAAAAAAAAGTTCATTGTAATAAGTTAGCCTAAATAAGCAAAAAATGAAAAAAAGGATGGTGGGGGAAGCTGACCAAACTTCCTGAGAGTCCAATGATGAAGAACTTAAGAGAAATGTTGTGGAAATAGCACATTTTCTCAAGATATCCTTGACTCAACAGCTCGGGCTGAACAAGAAGCAGATCTCCCTTGGACCACATCCAGAACCTGCACCCTTCCAGGGAAACCCCAGGCAGTTCTGATGTTTCTATCTCTAACACCTCAGCACAGTATTGGGCACAGATTCAGTACTCCATAAACATTTTCTGAATTAACAAGAACTGAAAAGGATATCGTTTGTTCCTCTTATGTATAATACATATATTGAGAGAGTGTGTGCGTGACCTCTAATAAGAGTTTTGCAGCAAAGTTCCAAGGAATGATCAAAGGGGATCTGATTTTCTTTCTTTCCTACCTCTTTAAGACCAAACCTTTATATATAATAAGATGTCTGATCTCTCTTCCATCGGTTATTTTTTGTTTTCCAGAGTGCTAGTTCATAAGGCAATTTTACAAATGAATACAGAAGCTGTCTTCTGCCAGTTTTCACTGTCACAGCTTCATAGACATTCAGTTTACATTTCTGTTAAAAAATGCGTACCCATTGATGCAACAGTCACAAAGGTGGGCTTACCTAGGGCTGTGCAGTTGTCACTGGATTCTCCTGGGATACATGACGGAATCACAGTCGTACTGAGAACGGCTTGTAGAAGGTAGAAACCTAGTTATGGAAGGAAATCTAATATATAATTAATGTTTCAAGGAGAGGATGCTGTTCAGCTTTTTAACATAACTGCAGTACCTATAAAGAGGTTTTAATTGTTTCAAGGGCTTGACTCATCGAGACCATAAAATAAAATACTTCATAGAGACAGGCAAATAATTGAAAATTAATGAACCCCTTGCTCATCTGTCCAAGGGTAAATGCTTTAGCACTACATTCATAGTTACAGATTTCCCCTGAGCTGAACATTTCACAATCATTTCAGAGATTTGATTTTGAAGTCTCATTCCTTAAAAAGCTTATCAATTAGACAATTTCCAAGGTTTTATTCTGTGATTGTTCAGCGCAGAGCTTGGAGGTAGCTGCCATTATGAAAGGAGTCTTCATATAAAATCCAGTTTCACTTAATGATAACAACTAACCAAGAAATTCACTAAGTCACTTTCATTATTGATTTATGAGCCTGAGGTAGTCTTTCCTCTGTACTGCACATAAAAATGTATTAATTATTAAAATTAATTAATTAACTATAGTTAATAAAGTATAACCTAGGTAAATTCAGGATGTATCTTAGCTAATATGGGAAGGAACTGGCATGCCAAGACCTAAGAGCAAGTTTCTGTCATCACAGGGCGAGTTTGAACCAGCTGCTTCATTACGTATCTCAACGAAAAGATAAATGAGGGAAAACAGAGATCAAATGACTGGAATAGTTTCTGAATTGTATAAAAAGTCTGATAAGAAGAGCCCTTTTAATTGCACTCATGTTTACTTAAGCTGATTAGCCTCTTCTGTCAAACTTTGGGTATTTGCACTTCAAACACCCTTTCAGTATCTATGAGTTACTTGTAACATAAATACTGATGGTGGTGGTCGTATTAGTTAACAGCAATTAACATTTCTTGAACATGTACTATGTACCAGACATGGTTCATTCACCTTATATATATATATATGACATGGGGCTGGCAGGTGACATGGTGATTAAGAGCCAGCTGACGTTCAAGTCCCAAATCTAGCAGTTTGCTTTCTTACTTTCCCTCTCTCTTGCTCTCACTCTCTCTCTTTTCCTCTCTGGTCAAATTAAAAAAATAAATAAATAAAGTTAAATAAAATAATTCTTTAAAATGTCATGATGTATTTTTCCTTCTTTCTTTTTTTCAGAGAGATTTTTGTTAGAGGGCACAGGTGATCACTGGAGTGACAGAAAGTGAGAAATTACCCCCTATGGAAGATAACCATGCCACAATTCCTTCTCCTCCATCCTCCTCTTGAGATTTTAGGCATGTACACACAAGCACTTGGCATGAGTTTCAAGACCCAGGTCTGGGACTCGAACCGCCGTCGTCTATGTGGGAGTCCAATGATGAAACCATTATGCCATCTGCTGGGCCCTTCTGTATTTTTTTGTGCAAAAATGCATCATGTCTTTTCTGACAGCCCAATGTATGATGTAATTTAATCCTCTCAGTAACTTTTTGAGGACAATATGATCCCCATTAGACATGAGAAAACCAAGACATGAAGAGTTTAAAAGACTTTTCTTATGTTATGTGTTGTTAAAAAGGCTGTATTTTGTAGTTTGGAAGTGGACAATACTACTCAAGTGTAATAGACATATCACAAACCTAGAATAACTGAAATTAAAACCGTATTTAACCCCACAGAGAGACAACAAAGTATGGTGAAAAAGCAATTCTGTAAGAAAACTTGAGCTATCTGATGGACAATTAACTTCTCTGTGTCTTAATTTTCCCTACTTTACAGAGTGTGAGGATAATGAAATAAAAGATAAAATATTTGAACTGTCTGACATACCAGAAAACACCCAACTTCCTTGACACTCAACTTCCAGCCTCTCCTTTTAACAGTATATGTAGGGAGTGCCCTCTACTGGCTTATAGCAAGATTATAAATCTCTCTAATTTTGAATTTTAAAGGATGATTTAATTCATGTAATAAAATAATTTTCTTTCGAATTGGAGGAAGCTTGTATCTGTTAAGAAAATTGCATATTCTTTGGGTATTAAACCTAAATTACACGTCAGCATCATAGTTTATATTTTCATGTTTCAAACTTAGTATTAACAAACCAATGAAGCAGTTATTAGCCCCAAACAACCTACGTGCACTTATATTGATTTTTTTGCCCAGCTAGCCTGTGGCATGGTAGTTGGGTAAGCTGAATTACACATGGGCCACTGAATGGTTCATGTCCTGGACCTGGCAGCTTGAAAAATACCCCAGTCATGTGTGTATGTGTGCCCAAAACCCTGAGTGGAGAAGGGGAGGATAAGGATTGAAGCATAGCCATCCTCCATTGGGGGGTGGGATGCTTTCTCACTTTTCTTCTCTTCCTCTCTGTCCTTCTCTGGCAAGCACATTCATTCTCTGGCAACATTTTTTTTTTTTTTTGGTAATTAAACGTTTTTTTTCCAAAATCACTTACATAGTAATTACAGGAAATAAAAGTTAGAAGTCTCTTTGACATCAAGTCTCATATTCTTTTAATTATTTGAAAGTACAGTTTTATTGGAAGATTAAGAACTATCCATATCATACTCTCTGTTTCTCCTACAATATAATTGCTGCCTCAATTGCTCTTAAAGACCAATAATAATCGTAATAATGAAGCATTATTATTTTTAAATTTGCCAAAGGGCATATTGCTTACCAGAGAGAAACAGAGAGACTGGGAAAGTGGGAGAGTAAGGGGGAGACCGAGAAAGTACACCCACCCCCACGGTGGGGGCATGGCCATGCTTCAATCCTTTCCCTTTCGTTTCTCCATTCTGTCAGGACTTGGGGCATACACACATACAAACCCAGCATGGTTTTCAAACCACTTCCAAACAATGGAACCATGTGATCAGCCATGTGAAATCCAGCTCCCTTAACCAGTAGGCCACAGGGCTGGCCCAAAAAAGTATTTCTTAAATGACAAAAAAAAAAAAAAAATTATGGCTAATGTCTGGTTTTCACTATCAATTGAACAGAGATGAAAAGTATTTTTCACACAGATTTTTATGGGGGGATGAGTTACATTTCCATCCAAATCAACTTTGTTCTACTTCTCAGTATAATTTTGCCATGTACTTTCACTAGTGAAGAACTAAATTCATTAGCTTATATAGTCTCCTCAGTCACAACTGGAGTTTACTATAGGGTGCATGCACTCACCAGAAAGACAGAGACAGAGAGACAGAAAGCGAGAAATCACTCCCTCCCCTCAGGGGGATGGCCATGCCGCAATCCCATCTCCTCCATTCTCCTCTTGGGATCTTGGGCACGCACGCTACACATGCCTGGCGTGAGTTTAAGCCACCAGGTCTGGGACTTGAACTGCAGTCAACCACATGGGAGTCCAGCAACATAGTCATTATGCCAACTTCTGGTCCCCCCAACAGGAGTTTGACTTTCCATCTGTTTACATCCTTGACATTCCTATTTCTCCACGCTTCCTCCACTGAAGAAAGCTTTAGAAGAAATAATTCTCCCTCTAAAAAAGTAACAGCCAGGAAAAAAACGCACATTTAAAGCTAGTTTATCCTTAACAGAAACCAAAGACAAGCCTTTCCTGTTTGAAATTGCTTACAACTGCAGTCTGCATGGAATCCAGCTAATTATTACGGGGTGTTGTTTCTTAGTCTCTCCCTCTATCTCTTTTTTTAAGCTTTTTAGTAAGTTGTTAGGTTTTCCTCTGTTGGAAACTTTGTTCCAGTTGTCCAGGCCACAGGTGAAATATTTGTCTTTGTCAATTAAAGAATGTTCAGCCCAGGGTGTGCCTCCACAAAAACTGGGCTTTCCTCGCCTGTGACGCTCCCTTGGACACAGTCCATCGCTCAGGATAGTTTCTGTGAGACCTGCTGCTTTAATCCACAGCAGCTATGTTACAAATGGAATTGTAAATCATTTTAAATACCCCTCTCAAATTAAAGTGTGTAACTATAGTTCCATTATGGATGTGTGTAGCCAATAACGCAGCAAAATTGGTTCTACCTCACGGGACCATCCGCACAGCTCAATTGCTTTAAAACAGTGGTTCTTGCGTGATCCTTCACTATGCCTCTGACTCAAGTCCTTGTGGACGGGGGTACAGGAGTGAGTGGGAGTGATGAGAAGATTGAAACTCCACCTGCAGGGGCCAGCAGGTGGCATGGTGCTTAAGGCATGGAATTCATATGGCCAACAGCAGTCTAAGTCCCGGACCTAGCTTGCTTTCTTACTTCCCTTTCTCTCTCTCTCTCTCTGTCTCTTTCTGGTCAGATAAAATAATAAAAATAATAAATTAAATTAAGTAATTCTTAAAAAGAAAAAAAAATCCACCTACAGAGGATTATTGCACCCTCCATTCTGTCACACTTCAGAATCACTACTCATTTTAAATTCATGAGGGAAGGAAAAAATGCAAAAATCCGAACCTTAAATTACCTTAACTTTTCAGGGCTTTTTTCATAATTTGAGTGTTAGTTGAACATAACAACCTCTCTCTGATTAATTGGAAGAGAAGGGATTGTGATGTAGCCATCCCCCTCTGGGGATGATTTTTTGCTTCCTGTCTCTCTGTCTCTCTCTGTCTCTCTGGTGAGCACACATGCCCTATTGCAAAAATCTCTCAAAAAAAAATCAACTGTGAATATTATATTTGAGTTTTTGATCCTTGACAATGAGTCCCTGCTAAGAAAATAATTCATTTACTCTGGTACTCAAAAGTTGGGTCATGTCTATGTCAAAAGACAGATCTGGGAACCAGCAGTTAGCGTAATGGCTATGTCGCTGGACTCCCACGTAGTCGACTGCAGTTCGTGTCCCAGACCCGGTGGCTTAAAACTCACGCCAGGCGCGTGTGTGTGCGTGCCCAAGATCCTGAGAGGAGAATGGAGGAGAAGGGATTGCGGCGTGACCATCCCCCCTGGGGGTTGATTTCTCGCTTTCTGTCTCTATGTCTCTCTCTGTCTGTCTGGCGAGCGCACGCGCCCTACAGTGAAAATCTCTCA